GTTGAAGCAAACACGAAAATCATAGCCGACTTAACTTAAGCCAGACATAAAAGAGATTAACTAAACGTAAATCAATAAAAAGCTTACTCTTTTTTTCGTTTTATGAAAAAGTTATTTTGCTAAACATTTTGCTGCATGCAACATATACTGCACTAAACACCAACAAGACAGAAAACTGTTGTTTTTACTTGATCAGAAAGCACACACCTGAGATAACATATTTTCTTTACTAAGATTTTTGAATGTACAGGCAGATAGATGTAAAACACACTGTTTAATTGTTGTGGATTCCGGGTTGAAATCAGGTACCAATAAATAACAAACGCCAGGAATGAATATAGGAAAATAATGTATTAACGTAATAATACAAACTGGTATAGCAGGTTAGTAGTTTTAGGAATACGGGTTAGTAGCAAAATATATATACAGTCTTTGGTATTGAAGTATCGCTGTATGACTTTTTACTGAGTCTACGTGTTCGCTAACTGTGACTCCTACAACGCTGTTACCTCACCCCTCACTCTTCCGGTTACATACAACCTTTTACACTGTCACTCTCGTAGCAGTAGTATATTTATCTAATGGGTGAGTCCATTTGTGTAAAAAGGGGTGGACACCTCAACATTAATAAATAAAAATGGAGCGTCTTTTTTATATGCAAAGTGTTCACTGTAATGACTTTTGAAGTAATAAAATCGGATAAAAGTAACTCCATTATTTCTTTAGAAATTGCTTAATATATATATATATATATATATATATATATATATATATATATATATATATATATATATATATAATTGTTTATTCGATAATTATAACATACATATGTTATAAAATCAATAGCTATTTTGTTTCAACACTTCTGATGTCTTATCAAGTGATGGTGTTGAATGTAGAATAAATGATTTTAAAAGCTTCAAATCAATCAAACACCCCACGGGGAAACGCCGTTACATAAGATGGAATGTCCAATCAAAATACAAGTATATGAGAATTCAAAAACTTGACAACGAACTTTGTTTAAATAATTATTTAATGCTTTAATGTTAGGATTATGCTAAAATAGAATTCATTCTAACTAATTTATATTGAATTAAACTATAAAATTCACATTTCAAAATTACTAATTTTAAATTTAATCTATATTAAAGTTGAAAAAATTATAAAATTATTTAAAGAAGAAACTGGGGAAAAATACATGTTTTGTTATTTTTATTCTTTCCAAAAGTTAAATTGGAATAAACGTTAAAACCTTAAATACATTTTAAATGAAGATATGGGAAAGGAGGGTGAATCCTTGCAAAAGAGAATACGTACACAATCAGATTATACTACAAAAAACATAGACATATTTAGATATATAAACACGCAAAAAAACGACGAGACAGGAGAAAACAACATACACATACAAGGAAAGACACATATGTGAGTGTTTGTGTGTTTGTTAATATATATATATATATATATATATATATATAAATATATATATATATATATATATATATATATATATATATATATATATATATAGGAAGTGTGTTTGTGTGGGGGTGTGTACGTGCGTGTGCGTTCGATTTTGTATATTGATAAAGTTTTCAAGTCGATTTTAATAAGTCGCTCGGACCGAGAACTTTCACGACACCGTCATACACAGGTGAATTCACTGACATCGATGAATAACCAGACACACAAATATTCTTCACATTGTAGCTCGTGAGAGAAGCCTCACGCGAGAACTGGAATCTTTGCAGTGAGGAAACTGAAAGAGCATTCCGTCACCCAGTCAGCTTAAGAGAATTTTGTGAGCGAAAGTGAAAGTGAAAGTAGACTAGTCTCTGTCAGGATATGAAGCATTATTTGATTGCCAGCGCGCGAAAAACGTCCGGTGTCTTTCATGTAGAAATACACAATATGTCCACAGAAATTAAGTCGAAGAGGGAAGCCATGTCGTGGTATTTCAACGTGGAGATGCTGGTGGTGTATGGTAGTGACTGACTTTTGTGAGTCTATGAGAGCAAGGATCAGTACAAGTATGGTGTTATGACGTTATTACGCGATGTACTTCTTGCGTAAGTATCGAGAACCGTGAAGAGCGTAGAATGAGTCTCAGAGCGGGTGAATGGCGGATAACTTAATGACCTTAGGCAGCTTTTACTCCTGCGCTAGGGGTGACACGGAAAAACTAGAAAGACAATTCAGAAAGATGAATGAAGGACAAGGAAAGAATAAGTTAGAATTAATCTTTTGAAATAAGATAAGCATTGAGGTCAGGGAAGAAAGGAAGAGATAGAATAACAGAAACGAGCAAAAGAAAATAAACAATGTTATATGCGTACTGCATTTGAGTAAGTCTACGCTATGTTGACAAAAGAAGGGTAAAGTTTTGTGAAATAAATAAAATAGAAAAACAACAGAGAGAGAAATAACTACATAGAAAATAAAATTTGAAGAAATTTAAAAAAAAATTCACTTCATAATAACCCCCCTCCACCCCAAAAAATAAGCAAGTTCATTTAAAATGACAAAAAAGACAATATGTTTCGGCCGTTGTATTCTCCGACCTCCTTTAGGTATTTGCAAATTCGAACTGAACCCTTTATTTTATCCACTGGTGTAAATTGTTCTACTTCCACGTGCCATGCCTCTTCCGGGTGTATCAGTTATCTTCTTTTAAGTCAACTCTTTAAGAGGTCCAGTGGATAAAAGCGTTGGTTGGATCCGGAAACTTGACCCCCAAAAGTTTGTTTTATAGTTTATCAACGCTTTGTGGGTTATGTAAAACCGAAACATATTTTAGATTGTAAAACTATTTTTTTTCCGCGCGAGCAAATAAATGCAATATTCTTTTTCTTTTAAGAATAAGGAAGACGTTTCGTGATTCATGTCCTACTATTTTAAGCGATAAATGGAAGACCGTATTAAGTGAAGGTAGAGAACCGGACTGTATACAGGTTCGAATCCTGTCGGAGGACGAATATTTTCTGTGAAAATTTCTCGGACATTCAGACCGGTAAATATTGTTTAATACTGTTTATTATAAACAGAGCATTTACTTAAATATTTGTATCTATAAAAAGAATATAAACAAAAAAACTGTCTTAAAATAATTGTCAGATTTCGTCCATTATATATATATATATATATATATATATATATATATATATATATATAATATTTCACTCCAAGCAAAGCGGGAGTGCCATTGGCAAAGGGTTACAGAAAGTGACAACAAGAGTAAAGTGTAGAGAAGTGTTTGAGGAAAGGTTACAGAGAAAGACGGGGATCAGGATCAAGACATCAAAGGATGTCGATTGATATTACATTTGAATATTCGAAGATTATAGCTATCAACTAAGCAAGTAGGAGAAAGGGAGTTCCACTGCCGTTAAGAAGGTATCCAGACATGTAAAGTTTAGTAAATACGTGAACGCGCATTTCAAATGTGGTCGAACTTCAACTAAGATGGCTCCTATTACTGGTTGTCCATAATCACCCTTCGATAGTGACAACATACTAATATGAGATCATCGTATTCGGGAACTAGCAGACAAGATCAATGTCTCAGGTTATGATCAGTGATAAATAATTGTGGAAAAGATTATTTCCACAGATCTTTTCATTAGGAATAATGCTTCATATCCTGTTAAAATGTGACAATAGGTGAGGAAAAATAAGCAAATATCGTTATTCAACTAATTTCACAGAATGAAATGTGGCTTCATCTCTTTGACTCAGAGATTAAAATCAAACAAAGCCATGGAATCCTAATGATTATTAAGCAGAGATAACAATAAAAAACAAGAATTAAGAAGACATAAGATAACAATTCACATCGCATTTAAGATTTTGAAAATAAAAGTTTGCTGTGAAATATTAAGCCGGAAGAGAGTGCTAGCGAGATTTGCGACAAAAGAACCTGTTAGCATAGAAGTTACGGCTACATTTAGTCATTTCAACTGTAAAACGATAACGATTTGCCGTCAATCTAGCACTGCGCATAAATTCATAAAGTCTACGTACCATAGAGGAAAGATCCATCTGAACAATTCACACAAAAGTATTTACAGAAAAGGCGCAGTGAAGCTACATTTTGGCGGTGGGAAGTGAATAAAGAAGAGGTTCCAGATCAAGACCTATGATACTGCAGATTCTTTCATGGCTTTTCTAACTACATAGGTGTTATTATCTTCATATATATTGTTGTATATTTAATCTAACCTATTTTTCTCTGTAGATTTTCTTTCGCTGCCATTTCCCAAACTGTATTAGTTATGTTTTTTTATTTATTTTTTGTTTCAAGCTCACTTTTCAAACCAATCCTATCCTATTTTGGTAGTTAGTCACTTTCCTTTCATTTTCGCTCATAAATGGTTTTATTTTCATTCAATATTTCTGTCTTTTTCTTTCAAATTTTATCATTCATTCTGTCACATGTACTTTCTTTTTTCTAATACTTGTGTCTATGATTTCTTTCATTCAATATTTTTTTATCTATTTCTTTCTGTCTGCTTTCTCTCACATTATTGCAATCACGTTTCTTTCTTTTTTCAATACATTTGTTTATTCCTTCCCCCACGCAATATTTATTTCTTTTTCTTTCCTTCTCTCACAAAATTTTGTTTTCGTTCTTTCTTTCCTTCTCTCATTGGTTGAAACTTCGTCGTTTTTGCAGTTTTAGTTTCTTTCTTTCTTTCTCCAATTTTCCTCGCTCTTTTCGCCATTCTTTATTTTTTCTCTTTTCAATCATTTTTCCTTTTCAAAAAGATGTGTTTTTTTTTCTTTTTTTAATTCATACATCGTATATTTTTATTGTTTATTCATTTCCTTCTTTATTCATTCTTTTTTTTTCCAGTATTTTTTTATTTAATTTTTGTTTATTTAACTCTGTTCATCTTTCTCTACTTTCCTTCTCTTTCGTGTTTCCTTCTTTTGCAATGTTATCATGCTTTATTCACTTCTTTCTGCATTCCTTCTTTCTCTCTTGTCTCTTAATTTGATAAAGAGCTAATAACATTTTCTCTTTTGTACCTTCTCTCTCTCACTCTCTCTCTCTCTCTCTCTCTTTTTCTCTTAAGACGCTCCGATGGTCATCGATTATAGATTTGACTTGGCTTGTTTATACTGAATGGAGAAACACTGAAATTGGAACCTTAATTAAACCTTCTCCACATAGTTTCCATCCCGAGGTGCACAAAACTTCCGCCTTTTACATTACTTTTTTGGAACTCTCCATTAAGACTCTTCCATTTTGAACTACAGCCAACATCTCACTTCGTTAAACATGTTTCCGTTTAGGAAGTACTAGTTTTTCAGGTATAACTTCATCAAAAAGAAGAAACAAAAACGTGGAAAATAAACTATGAAGGATAATCCATTAGTTATATGATTTTTTTCATTTGTGCAGAATGGGATATTGTGCTGTCTGTCAACATTTTTGCTGAGTCAACCGCATCTACGTTTATTGATGTATTGCTTTAATTTCAACGAGATTGAGGCATGGTATGGCCCGGTTATTGGCAAGGAATATCCTAAAGCCTCAAACTGTATTCGCTGTCAAAAAATGTATTTTGCCACCAGAGTGCGATATAACTATTTTGTGAGATCTTAAATGATTTCTGTTTTAGGCTATAAAATTTATATTTAAAAAAATAAAGTACAATTACATCTTATTCAATAATATATTTACCAGTGTATCTAATTACTTCTTGCCAGTTACCAACTGTCGCTTCCGCATGTTTTCACATGAAAATTATTTAGCGGCCTATTGAATCTGCTTTACGTCAGAGGAAATTCTCTCCATCAAATCATTTTCAATGTAACAACAGGTTATGTAAGATCAAAGGAATATAGCGGGAATTTTGAACTTCGATTAGTCTTTTCTCTTTCGAGCAGGCTAATTGTGTTCGAAATCCTTTTTCTGTTATTTTAGCTGTATGCACTTTCTTGTTTTAATGGATTAGAAAAATATTGTTTCCTATAAGTGAGTACAATGCGCTTTTCGACCAGACTTTTTTAGACCTCTTACAGCTGATGAAATAAATAAATAAATGTGTATTTAACGTCTATTGTCGTTTTACGAACTCTAAAAGTAATATCGTGACGATCCTACGATTAACACGAAGCTTAGGTTTTGATAAACGGTTTTGGAAATGTAACTTGGTCACTGATCTTTGTGATGAACATTATCGTATGTAACACCGCTTCTTACGATATATATATATATATATATATATATATATATATATATTGTTATTTATATATAATTATATATATCTATATATGTTTATTGTTTTGTCATCGTACTAACGCAAACATCGATGTATGCAGACACATATACATACTTGTTCTTCCATCGGGACTCATACATATATAAGCATATGTGGGGAATTTCGGATATGACATATGTATGTATACGGGTGGTGTTGTGTCTATACATACGCATTTGCATGTTGAAATTTAAAGATTGGAAGTGTGGCGGAAATGTCTCGTGAATGTCTCGTGAATGTATACATGTCATATTTATTTTTCCGCTGAATAATATTTCCTCGCATGTATGTACATACGTGTGGTGGGGTTTGTGTAAAATTATGATAGGTAAAAATTATTATTATTTATATTTATTTTTAAATTTTTGAAAAAAAAATTAGGGTTTATTTGTTATATTTAAAGCTGGTTATTTGTTTGTTTTTGGTGACTGTGTATATGTAACAGGTAAAAATTTGTAATTCTTATTGGTTAATTTATATGGTGATGTTTAATATTTAATGTGCTGGGTGAGAGGGTAGTTTAATTTAATAACGGGTCTATATGATATGATGTGATAGTAATGTTGCAAGAGGTGGGCGGCAATGATAATATAATTAGCTAATAGTTCTTTTAAATTGATAGAAATTGTAAATTGGTAGAAATGATTAGTAACGGTGGTGGGAGAATGATAAAACCATGAATGTAGTTATAGTGGTGGTAACTAGTGGTGGTAGCTTGAACTAAAAAGTGGTTGTTGGTGTTTTATTTTATTTTATTATATGTATTAATTTATTTTAGTATAAATTCTGATAATAGGTATATTGTGTAAAATTATGGTAGTTGAAGATTGCTATCTATCCAACCATATATATATATATATATATATATATATATATATATATATATATATATATATATATATTATAAATAATGATGAGATAGTATGATGCATTCGTAATTACAATTGGTTCCAACTTAGGTAAAATGTTTGCATGTTCTAATTTCAATACTATTGATACTTTGAATGTATCAATCGTATTCGACGGTTTCGAACATAGCGACGGGTTATGTGGTGCACAACGGAGTATTTTGTCGAGATATCTTTGTACATACATACATACAAAGTTAAGAGTTGCCAAAATTATGACACTGGAAAGGGTGGTGTAAATATTCAGTGGCGCAAACTGAATGTTCATAGAATGGCCAACCTAATGGTAATCATTGTAAGGATCTCTGATAGTAGCAAACATTATAATCGTCGAAGTCATATTAGTGACAGGCCAATCAGTGGAAGGCATGCTGCTTCTGTAAATACAGAAGCAGACGGATGTTCTCCCCACATTAGACCGAAAATTTACTATTACAAAACTCTAAAATTTTACAATTGTTCCATGGCCAGGTCTGAGTATTCCTACCGTCTAGTCAAACATCACAGCAAATTGTTTTACAGAAAATTTATAGACTCTATTAAAGAGCAAAGTTGCTGAACAGGATCTTCTGAAAATGAAGATTTGCATAAGAAAATTGAAATAACTGCGTCAAATGATGATAAATTAATGGCGCAAATCCTACATGGTTAAGATGAAGCTAGTATTCTATGAAAGGAGAAATAGGTCGACTGAGAAGGAAGCATAGTATCTACGAACAAGCATAGAAACTATAGTTTGTTTTCGTAGGCTTTATTTGCTTACAAATCTCTCACACCCTCATTTCCGTCCCCGTCCTTTTCTCTCTTTATATATATACATACATACATATATATATATATATATATATATATATATATATATATATATATATATATATATATATATATATATATATATATATATTGTGTATTTAGGCAGGACATTTTCTTTGAGGCAAACATTATTAAAACAACAGACATTTTCTTCCGATTAATATTACTGATTAAATTACAAATAATCCTGCTAAAGAAGGAAGAAATTCCATTAGAAAATGTCAGAAATTCATATCGAAAAAAGTACAAGAATTATCGTGATATATATATATATATATATATATATATATATATATATATATATATATATATATAAACCAGGTAAGATGATAACGAATAGAGTATAAACTGACGTTCGTAACATTTAATTTAAAAGAGGTTCAATCCAAAAAATTATTTATTTCAAGATATTACATCAAAAACATGTCAACGATAATGTGATTAAGCTTATCAGACAATATGAAAGGAATTAAAATAAATTTACAAAACTTGTCTATATTATTTAATGAAACATGCATTGATGAAAATTGCTGCCTAAATGTAGAGGGTTCTCCCCTTTTTTACACAAATGGACTCACCCAGTATATATATATATATATATATATATATATATATATATATATATATATATATATATATATATATATATATACTACGGCTACGTGAAGACCCGAGAGAGAGCAAGACCGAGGAATCGATTCGAGTCGTGTCGAGTCCAGAGTAAAAGGTTATAAGTAACCGGAAGAGTGAGGGTGAGGTAACAGCGTTGTAGGAGTCACAGTGAGCAAGCACGTAGACTCAGTAAGAAGTCAGACAGCGATACTTCAATACCAATGACTCTCACACTAAATAAACGCAATATATATAATGTATATATGTTCACTTTTATATTTATATTTGCATACGCTCTATCTCTGATATTGACTACTTTATCCATAAATATGGAAAACCTTAAAACTATATTTCTTCGTATATATATATATATATATATATATATATATATATATATATATATATATATATATATATATATATAGTTTAAAGGTGTCATATGTATGGGGTAAAGTGCTCAATATCAGAGATAAAGTATATGTAAATATAAAAGTGAAGGTTGAAGTCAAAACTCAGATGGTTTCATGCCTTGCACAATCATAAACATGTAGCCTGTTTAGTTGACTTTAAACTCCACTTGGTAATCTGAATTTACAAAACTAGTTGAATAGAAATTCCTACTCAAAACATATCAATTTATGTTGGATTTGCTGAGGCATATTCTTGTCCGGATGGAAAACAACATCCTTGTGTTTCGGGACAACTTTAATCAGTTACATCCTTTAATCACCTACGGCAGAAAAAATCTGCCTCGTCAGTCATGTATTGAATGATACATGATCGCCTTAGCGAGTATCACGCATGACACCTACTTGACTGAGCCTTTAATCGGTCGAAATTTTCTGATTAACACTGATGTACTTCTCATTCCGAAATGCTCTTCTTGTTCTACCAGATATAGATCATTACATGCTTTGGATGAATACTGGTCATTAGAATCGTTAAAAGTATCTAATTCCCTTTTCTCTATGTTCATTTTCCAACCAAATTGTTCTAAACATGCTTCATATCGTTCATCGTTGGCTGTTTTGCTTCGATTGGATTTTAATATCTCCCGAGAAAATGAAATTCATTAATCTTTTCTCTATCACGTATCGAATATTTTTTAATAACTTGCAATACTCATATAAGCTTCCTCTACTATGCGAAGTATCAATTGACCATCATTATTTTATCCGGCGTTTGGATTTGGCCATCTTCAACGGCTACAGCCTTGCCGGAACTCAGTTTTCTAGATCAAACTTTACATTTCTGAATTTAACGAAACGCTTATGAACAGGACTCTCAGCTATGGCACCATCTCCATAAACAGCTGTTTTGCTGTTAATTCATCATTGTTGCCTTTACAGAAATAAAAGTACATAGATCGTGAAAATGAATCTGATTTTCTTCCATATT